CAACCATGCCACGTTCAAAGGCACTCAAATCACCTTTCTTCCCCATACTGATGCTCGGTTTGAACTGCAGGAGATTGTCTTGACCATGTCTACATGCCTGAATGCACTGAGTTGCCGCCATGTGATTGGCTGATTAGAAATTAAGTGTTAACAAGCAGTTGGACAGGTGTATCTAATAAAGTGGCCGGTGAGTGTAAGTGTCACAGCTCTATGTGAAAAATTCACAGAACAAGCAGCCAAGGAATAGTGAAAAAGGCTAAATTCTGGAACCATAAACACAAACGTCTTTCCTTTGTTTTTATATCTTTAATCCACTTTGGAGTGTTTTTTTCGCACTTGGCTGGACCTGTACGTCTCCTGTGTTAATGTTGGTACATGTAATATGATAATTCTGTAATGTGGAGATCATTAAGAGTTGTTGTCGGGTGAAACAATATTTTGCTAACCAGAAGACTGGTGTGGGGCTAAAGAATGTGGAAGTGCTAGAATCTGAAGTCCTTGGCATAGGATATTGCACTTGGTAAAATGTTTTTTCAGGCTAACAAGAATAATAATCCAACATATTCTGTTCTTGTTAAGTATATCGGTCTCAAAACAAGATCAAAAATACATTTTAGCTGATATAAGACTGTAAGACTTTATTAAATGAAAAGTTTTTGCAGTAAAGTGACTGCCTACTGCTCAGTAACGTTAACAGATTATAAGCTCCACTTTAAACCTAGCCTGGTAAAAACTAGCCCCTTGTTCTTCACTTTGCTTTGTAGAGGGGGTCTGGACTCTCGGCCACAGAGAAACGATTGCTTGCTGGAGGTGTGGACTCTGTTGAAGTTTGAAGCGATTGGTTGTGAAGTATGCAGAGTGAGTCTGTGAGTGTTTTGTTTTGATTTAATGTGAAGACCTAATGTCTACAAACTGTTTTTTTTCACTAGCTGTACAGGGGTTTAACTGCACAGATTGTTTTTGATGTCTGTCAGGGCGGAATGGGCGGTCTTCTGAAGAGCATGACGTCACATGGAACGAGGGTAATAGTGGGTGTTGGACTTTATAGGGATCCCTGATTAGTTGTAACATTAGACTTTATTTGATAAACGTTTATTTTAACTGTAAAATAAAGACTGTAAAAATACTGTAGGATGTTTAGTTTTGTAAATTTTTAAAAATATATTTTAACACTGATGGAGCCATTTTATTTACACACAAAGCATTCTGGGTAAATGATGACGTGGATAGGTCCTCGGTGCGAGGCCGCTAGCGAGCTATATCCACCCTGAAGGTTAATCTTGGACAATATCTGATGATCGACTCTTTTAAATGAAACCAGAGAGCGTTGACAGAGAGGAGAAGGTAGAAATGACTCAGCCTGGAACTGAAAATATGGATGGAGGACAACAGAGCTGCTTCATGGAAGAAGAACCACAGCTTAGCCTGTTAGCCTTTGTGCTAGCACTGACGCTATATGGCCTTATATGCATTAGCTCGGTGCTAGCGCGACAAACAAGCTAAACTGAGGTCCTCCATCCATATTTTCAGTTGCAGCTGAGTCATTTTTGTGTTCCCCTCTCTGTCATGTGGATGGAGGACCTCAGTGATGAGAGGAGAATGTGTAGCACTGAGCTAATACATATATATGGTGATAGCGTCAGGGCTAATGCTAAAGCTAACAGGCTAATCTGAGGTTGTTCTTCCATGAAGCAGCTCTGTTGTCCTCCATCCATATTTTCAGTTCCAGGCTGAGTCATTTCTACCTTCTCCTCTCTGTCAACGCTCTCTGGTTTCATTTAAAAGAGTCGATCATCAGATATTGTCCAAGATTAACCTTCAGGGTGGATATAGCTCGCTAGCAGCCTCGCACCGAGGACCTATCCACGTCATCATTTACCCAGAATGCTTTGTGTGGAAATAAAATGGCCCCGTCTGTGTAATATATTTTTAAACTTTTAGTTTAAAAATCATAAAAACTGAACATCCTACAGTATTTTTTGTCTTTATTTTACAGTTAAAATATATGTTTATTAAATAAAGTCTGATGTTACAAATAATCAGGGATCCCTTTAAGTTTTGATGGTTCTGTCAGGTCTGTACAGCAAAGACTGGGTTTTCTCTTTCAACTTAAAATCTCATTTTGGAATTTGATATTTGCAGCTGTGAATTTTGTCTGTCCTTTGCCTTGCTCCTATTAAAAATCCTACAACACTGTTCCTGTGCTGCCTGTTTTTATGTTTTTATGAAGGGATTTTCAAAGTTGCAGGAAGAGAAGCCAACCCAGAACTGTGATAGAAAAAACAAACCAATAAGGCGGCCTCAGGACACACTGGCATCCTTATTTTTTTCCTCACAATTTGTTCCAGAAAAAAAAAAATATAATAAAAATGAAATACTTTTCATTTTAGTAAAAGTACTTTGCATGAGTTAGAAAAAGTTAAAACTAAATTAATAGCAGCACCTGAGGTGTTTGGTTGTTCCAGGCTCTATTCATGTGGTCAGGCTGCTCTCGTTATGAAGCTGCTGATGTGAGTTGGAAGCTCCACTCTGGTTATAGAGATGCTGATGAGACACCTGGTAAATTCTTTACAAGATCACTGCTGACCATCAGTCAGACCTCCAAAAACCACTTTATAATTCAGCTTCCACACGTCTGTTCATAAACTACTGATGAAAAACAAAACGACACGTTCATTCTTTAAAAAAGTGTAATCATCAGTGAGAAAACTGTAGTGTGACAATACATACAATTCCAAAAATATTAGAGTTCTTAATCAGTTTGCTAGAAAAATATATTTAAGGCTGATGCTAAAATCCCCAGCATTCTGACAAACGATACCAAAACATTTCCTCATGTGATGTAAGGAGCAGTTAACCTGCCCAATGGTATGTCATTCTACAGGAAATATATTAAAATCATCTCACTACAATAGCTTACAATTACATTTCTACATTACATCAATCACTGATGGCATAAAAACAAAACATCTTCGAGTAAAGATTCCCGCCAAACAAATCCAGCACTGAGCTGTTTTCTAGTGAAAAAGTACCTTAAGATGGATGCTGGGGAGCATCACAGCATCCAGTGTCTGAGGATTACAGTAGTGTAACTACAAATAAACAACTGAACTGATTTTGATTTTTGTTCTGAAAAGAACAGGAGATTATTTCTGTCAGAACATTAAAAATGTTAAAACCTGAGTTCAATCCAAGTTCAGGTCTACTCAACCCTGGTTAAGTGTGAGCTTTACACATTTTTTTGTAAAAATGATACAAAAGTCAAACTTATGTCAAGATTTGAGGATTTTTACACAAACTTGTGACCTAATGTTAAAAATTACCTAACAATATAGTTTAAATACAAAATTGATTCTTAAAAATGTTTGAAATTACCATTTAACTAAACACAATAAAAAGATAAAGTTTGGATGCTGAGTGTTTTTCCACACACCTAACAGAAATCAGCTTCAGCTCTAGAAACACACAAAACTAAAAAACTGTTTGCAACGTATTCAATCTCAGATTTTCATCCACACAGCACATATTTTAGTCCACATTCATCAAGCTTTCCATTCGAGGGAAGCAGCGTTTCCAACTGCTGCTGATGTCTGAGCGCTCAGCACGTTTAAGGCCAGCTGCTGACAGCAGCTGCTTTCTGCAGCTTTGGCTTTAAACCATGGAGGGCAGGAGTGAGCGTTAGCCACACAAGCACTCCGTCGATCCATCTGCATGTCCATGAGCCTTTGGTGTGTGTCTGTGCTGCAGGGAGGGGTGTGGGCTGGGCTTCAGTAGTGGTTGTATTGGCAGTTGGTGAAAGCTGCTGCAGGACTGCAGAACTCTCCTTGCACAATAATCAGTCTGGTTTCTGAGGGGACAACAGAGAAACAACAAGTTATACTGGAAATGTTACAAAGATTATTTAAATACACGCATATTAAATTTTAAAAAGTTTACACATAACCTGTAAAAAAACAGAATGCAATAAGTATCTTATTTTATGAACCCATTTTTAATTCACTATGGGACATAACATCAAATGATCACACTCAGACATTGAACAAGTTTTAGAATAAAAAGAGTCCATTTTTTCTGGCAGCAACACTTCTCAAATAAATGTTCCAGACAAGCAAACGGCTGGAACAGCTGGAGGAATATTTTACAAATGTGACCCATCATATCGAAATGAGGATTAAGTCAAATTTGGTCAAAATGACCTAATTACATTTTCAGATTCTTGACTTTAAAAGCTACATTTTGATACCTGGATCATCCTGATATCATAATTAAATCCATATATATGACTTAATTTGTCTTGTTGGTTACAATAATACATAAATATTTGGTCTGAATCCTAATTTGATGATGTCCTTGTAAAGAGGAAACCTCAAATTTTATTTGAATATTGAGATTTCCCAGCTAAAAAAAACAACACTTTGCTAGCTCAC